ATTATTATTATTATTATTATTATTATTATTATTATTATTATGTGCAGCAGAGAAAGGTTTTAAAAGCATCTTTATAGGGCCTTTGCAGACTGCCAGAAATAGTGCAAATTGAGTCCACTTTAATTACTCAGTACTAGGGAATCATGGGAATTGTATTTTTTTTTCTGAGACATTGAGCCTTCTCTGTCAGAGAGCTCTAGTGCCAGAATAAACTACAGTTCCCATGATTCCCTAGCTCTGAGTCAGGGCAATTAAAGTGGACTCAGTCAGGCAGAACCACAGGTCTATTGAACCTATGGCTTCTTATGGTTGAAATCCCATGATGTCTAGTCCTATTTATGCTACTATGCTGCTGAGGGATCTTTGATAGTACAGAACTATAGCACTATGCCTGTGGAATCCCAGGATTTGTAGTTTGGTGAGGCACGAGAATTTTCTAGTTGAGGATTCTAAACTCCCCACCCTCAGCTGCAAATTCTAGGATTCCATAGGATGTAAAAATGAACTCATAGGGCTATAATTGTGTAGTGAAAATGTTCTGCGGAGAGACAGAGGGAGCAAGCAGTTGCATTGCTGGTCCACTAGAAAAAGATCCTCCAAGCAACGTAGCATAGTACCATGATAAGCTCCAGTTCCACTGCAGTCATGAGCAAGCTTTTGAATTCTCTAGACTCTCTTCAGTCTGGCTATTAAGCAAAGCAACAGCATGGGTAGGTAAAGTGATATTGCCGGTGCTGGTTTGACCCCACATGTTAGATGGGATCTCCTCTCTCCTTGGCAGGATGGACAGTCTGTTAGAAGATGGCCTTAGCTTTGAGAGTGACTAGTAAGAACAGAAACAGCCAAGAACGAAATGAAAAGAAAGTAAAAAAGAAAGATAGCAGAGTCTAGGTAGCAGAGGCAGGTACCTGGATTCTTGATGTAGCATTGCTCATTTGCCCATGCCTAAAGTCCAGGTCAATGCAACCAGCGGTTGGACTCAAGAGAAAGGGCAGCGATGATGGAAACATTTTGGATGGTACACACATGCCACAAACTACAAGCCTGACTTTAGACAGGCAGTACTATTTCTGGGGCTACACTGTTACATACATTTACCTAGAAATAAGTTTCACTGAATATACAGCAGAGACAATACCTTTACTAAGCCAACAAAAATATCACCCAAATAAAAAGCCCCTTAACAGTATTGACACAATGTGAACTTTGGAATGTGTCACTGTTAGCATGGCTATCCCTGAATATGGTAGGATTTGTGAGTAAATGG